AATTGGCTTTTCTTTATTTGCCCAGGGGTGGGGAATTGACAGTTTAGGAATAAAGTATACATAAATCCCCCGGGGGGGGGGGGTGGTAACAGGAACAATCAAACCATGCATGATGCAGACAATTCTCTGCTGCGTACGACTTTCTAAACGGGCACCTCCTTAATATCAGCGCCTTTCTAATAATGCGGACATCTTTCCAATGTACCGCCGTCCACATTAATCCGTTTTCGTTTGAAAACGTATACCTTTGTACGCGTTTTCGCCGATCTTCCACACTGATACGATGGAAAACGGATGCCTTCATCAATGAAAGCGGAGCTTTTCGAAAACGGCTTTGAAAGTGGGCGTATATATTGGATTAGTGTGGACGGGCGAAAACAATGGTTTTCAAAAACGCGGACGGCATGAAAACAATCATGCATAGTGAGTGTGTTGTTATCCAAATTTCAGATGAATTCCATAAAAGTCTTGCACTGGATATGATGATTAATTTACAAGTATAACTTGCAAAGGCAACATGATGCTCTACAATATTTCCTAGGTTATCAGTTAATTTATTTCTGAGATTGTGAAACCACTATAGAAGCCCTATTATCACCGACGTTTTTAGGTCCAACCTCGGTAAATTTTTCTCTTTCTCCGTAAAAATGTTCCTGGCCTTCTTGTAGATTTTTGCATGAATAACGGTAAAATGAATGAAAATCGAAAATAATGAAAAATTATCGTTTTCTAAGTGCCAGTGTGGTAAAAAACGATCCAAAAACGCTACTGTGGACGCAGATATTTGTATGCGTTTTCGAAACATCAAGAACGAAGGGATTCGAAAACGGATTAGTCTAATAGTGTGGACGTAGCCTACCTTCCCAATACGGATACCTCTCTAATATGAATACCTCCCTAATAGAGATACCTCGCTCATACAGACACCTCTCTGATAGTGTTAATGTGTATTCTTTGCGCGGTACAGTATATTATATAGTATACCATAGTTAGCCGTATGCATGTATATATAATGATGCTTTATTCTTATTGAGAAATTGAAGGCCTTCTGAGAGATGGAATAATTTATGTCGAGTTCAAGTATGGCTGGCACTCGCTTTTACCAAAAAAGTTTCAGTTTTTGCAAAATGAAAAGCTACAAAGGGTAGAAGACTGTTTAAAACATGGAGCAAACCCAAGCAACAGAGGAGGTCCTGGGGTAACTGCCCTAATGCTAACGTGTGAGAACCTAAATGATCTTTTTGAGGATTCACCTGCGGCGGAACAGGTGATGTCGTTACTCTTGGATCATGGAGCTGAAGTGAATCAACAGGATTTTTATGGACGTACTGCGCTTCATTATGCACTTAAATCCGGAGCTGATACTTTTTCATATCTTGCTCAAAAACAACGTGTTGTTAAAATCCTTATTCAGCACAATGCAGAAATTTATCTAAAAGATTCGTCTGGGCTTTCCGCCTTTGACATGGCTAAGCGTCAGCGACACGAATCATGGTTAAGAACCGACGAAGCATCATTGGCAGGGACATGCTCAAAGAAAAGAAAGAGATCGTGCTCCGAAGAAAATTAAAGCCAGCTTCAATCTGGACTAGTCCCTTATTCAAAAGAAAGCGAAACTCGTACAAGAAACTCTTTGTCTTTGGAAAACTTACATGTGATAAAAATCTTAAACTTTCTCTATTACTTGGAACCAAAAACTAACCTTAGCGACCAACGCACGTATGAACTTTCAATTACCTAAACAAATCGTTAAATTTAAAAGACTTTCTATACCATCCATGCTGTACCGTACTTATCGTCGTAATGAAGACAGTTGTGGTATGTAAAAAGCAAACATATAAGTAATTTTACTAGTGATGCACCGATATCAGTGTATCGGTATCGGCTTATCGGTACTAAAATAGAAATATCGGTATCGATAATTTTGTTGTTGATATTACCGATATCTAAGGAAACTAGTTAAACGTATTCTCTACATTTAAAGATTACGAAAAATCAAAGTTTTGACTTGAAAGTATTGAAAATCAAAATCTAAAAGTGGAAACACAATACAATATACTAGTTTGTTGCATGCATTTGCAGCATTTCATTTGATATTTTCAGTATTTAGAAACAAATTAATTGAATTAAATTCAAAAGTATTAAAGTAGAACTGTCATGATGACATCTTTGAATTTTGTGAAATGACATACAATATCGGTATCGGCAAAATATCGGTCCTTCAATATCGGTTATCGGAATATCGGTGAACTTCCATATCGGTGCATCACTAAATTTTACTTAATTCTGCTTCTGAGAGGCAGATTTGAACACTTATTAAGATTTTCAAGGAACAGCTAGCCTAATTCAAGGGCAAGGGACGGTTGCACGAAGACCAGATACAGTAGCGCTATCTCCCACGGACAGTGATTTTTCAACCCTTGTAAAAATTCGTGAAAAGCTGTAAAACTACGGATGTGGGCCTCACAATGAATAAAAAAAGTTTAATTTACAAATACTAGAGTTCAAGCTGAGTTCTACCAAATCAACGGACAATTTTAAAAACCTGGAAAAATCACTATCCGCTGGATAGCGCTATTTGACCTTCGTACAGTATGTGTTGAACCAGCCCCAGGTCACGAGATACAGACGTTGAACTGGCAATACAATTAAGTAACAATATATTCAGGGCTGCAAATAAATATTTGACTTGACAGGACATTTGTCCGATCACTTTTAATTTTGGTCGGACATAACTTGAATTTAGTCGGACAAAAACCAACACCACTAAATTTGGTCGCACATATATATACGTCACAAGACAAGTACGTTTAGCCAATCCGGCGCAATTTTAAGTAAAATGCTAGAATGCCTCGTAAATTTTATTGCAAAATTCAGATTGAGTGAATTTGCAATCGGATTTTGTCACAGCAAAAAATGTACAATGTGACAATTTTTTTATGATCGGACCAATGTCCGATCAAAATTACTTTTGCTCGGACATTTGCCAAATTTAGTCGGACATTGTCCGATGTCCGACAGTAATTTGCAGCCCTGATATATAGCATTTGACATTTTTTATATTCATAAATTTCATGTAGTTTTAAAAGCACTGAGTTACAGTTAAAATTTTGAGAAGTGTAACAATATATAGCTAGCACTAGTTGCATATTCATAAATTTGTGGTTTTAAAAGCAGTTACTGTCAAAATTTTGTGATGTGTTTATTTGTCCATTAAAGTTAAAAACACTGAAATATCAGCACTGTGGAGGCAAGTTTGTTCTGTAGACCATGATGTATATTTATAATGGTCTAATGAAAGAACTCATTTGGTAGTCAACAAACCCAGATTTCATTTCCCATGCTGGATTCACAGACTACCATTTGGTCGCACAGTAGTGATAAATTCAAATAATACTGTAATTTATACTATAGTTTTTCTCAAACTTTAACCTCTCATTTCAAACTTTTATCTTTGAAAAAATATTAAAATAATAATTTATTTCTATACTTATGTATCTCGCTTAGCGACGGTCATTAGAAAAGTGATGGGGGGGGGGTCCATTTCCAACGTGCACGATTATTTTTTCAAAATTTTTTTGCTGTGTCGATTTTTTTTATAATCCCTTGCTCGAATTTTATTTTTTTCCAAAAATTGTTGGCGACGGGGGGAAGGTGAAAATTTTTTTCAGGACATAAAAAAGAGGTCAAAAAAATTTTCCGGACTAACATCAGTTGAGTTAAGGTTTAAAACACTTTTTCCCTGACAAATTCTTCTTAAAACATGATTAAAACGCTTTTTTTGCACCATTACTTATATCAAAAAACGTTCCAAATTATTTTTCTTCTATTTTTCAAATTTGGGGGCCACCACTACACTATACCTCTGATAGGCCCTGTCAACTTATAATTTTCCCTATTGAAAAGTCTTTTTTCAAACATTTCTGGTGCACGAATTTTTTTTTCTGTTTCCCCTGCTCGATTTCTGTTTTTGCTTTTGCCCCCCCCCCATCACTTTTCTAATGGTCCGCCCCTTAGAATAGATACATACATTGAGTGGCTGCCGAGTTCAGTTGTCGGTGATTAATATATAAATTGGCAAATTATTTTGACAAAACTTTAAATTATTTTGGCGCTGATCATCATCAGAACAACTATTTATAAACTTTGAAAAAATGGCAAAAAGCAATTTCTTCGAAAGTCGGTGTTTGCTAACAATTTGTTGTATGAGAAAGTATTTTAATTATTAAAACAGTCCACATAGAAATTCTAACAAACTGACAGTTAAAAAAGGTTCCTTTTATACAAATAAACCGAAGATTTTTCCTCGTCCTTCACAAGGTAACAACACTAAGTATGATACAAGCCAAATTGTGTGTTTAATTCATGAATACACAAGTCAATATGACGCAATTCTCTAGCGAATTCTCCCCAGAAAATGTTAGAAAACATAGTCATCGATCGAGCTTCAAAACTACAAACATTTTCTGGGGGAATACCCTAGAGATGTCATAATTAAAACTGTAGTGATTGCAAGTAATTTTAACATTGAAGTCCAAATCAGAACCAGGAAAGTCCTGGTCAAATTAACTTGGCAATAGGGTGAAAATAATCATAGCAAAATTACCCAGGAATATGAAGTGAACCCAAATAGGCTTATTTGCACAGGTTTACCCGGACGTTTAACTAGTAATTTTAACCATTGTAAATCAATGAGGTTTTGTAACAACCAAAGTTAATAGTAATTTAACCACGTGTATGTTGGAATGTTAGTGTGAGCTGTCAGCGGCGTCAAACGGATCAAGCTAGTCTGATGTTTAATCAAGTGTTCCGGGTGTGATCAAGTCATTGAAGAGGTTCAGATTTCACTTCCATTACCGCGACGTCTCACTGGCTTAGCGCGCGTCTGATTGGTTAATCGGATATATCAAACGCATCTGATTGGTTAATCGGATATATCAAACGCATCTGATTGGTTAATGATCCCTTAATGGTACCGGTAGTGGATCAGAAGTCAAATCTGAACGTCTCTAATATTCTGCGAAGCACGCAAAGTGTACGGTGATCTTGCTCTACAACGTAACGTAAAATCCCCACCACCCACCCCGTTCATCAAGTAAAATTGTGTTCTAAGTACCACCGCTCGTTCCCAGGTCTCCCGGAACCACAGCTCGTTCCCAGGCCACTTCGGTTCACAGCTTGTGCACCTAACCTTCCAAATTGGTAAGTATGGTATTCCAGCAGATGTTTGAAGATATAATATTTTCTGGTAAGGAGTATGGTTAATGGAGATATTAACCGGTTTTCCTTTGCTTTTTTCTGTTAAAACTCACGCGCTAATGAATTTCATCATATCCGAAAACTTTGGTATTGCAAAAGTTGACCAATATATGCTTTTAATACTACAAAGATAATCAGAGATGTTTATAGTTACCACTAAAGTTACTTTTTTCCCATCCCCAAGTTTGGAAAAGCCACTTTCTTTCCTTCCTGGATAAACGAAAAACGGTCTGACGAAAAACCTGACAATAAAGTCTGTCAGGTTTTAAAGCCGTTTTGACCAGAGGGAGGGTGAACTGCCTATTATTTAGTTGTTGCATTTTTGAGGAAAATTCTCGAAGAGAAAAACAGAAATTAAAAATTTCAAAGTTTTGAGAATCTTATTTTTGCGAATTTCTTGCTATCCCGAAAGGGTCAAATTCTTTCCTCCACCCCCTGACTTTTTACCACCTCCAAAAGGGGGAGCAAATGCTAATTATATGCACCCTGAAAGATATATTACATTTCTCAGGTATTTAGAATAACCCAAACATTACACCATTCCCAAAATCATAATTGGGGCTAGCGTCTATAGTCGCACTTTAAATGAACATTTCGAAATCGCTACCATTTCAAATCTTGCATACATTAATATATTCAATAGAATTATTCATGTGCAACCATACCCGAATACACAATGTCTCGCGACGAATTTCGTCGCCTTTATAGGAGAGGCGATCGCTTATTAAAAGCAGATTTTAACGAAGTGTTTCAACCACAAATACACCAAGATTGCCATGCATTGATTACAGAATCCTCGGACGGTAAGTTTATATGGTAATACTAATTGTGAGCTGTATTTTCAGTACGTAATTTGACAACAGACATTGCGACTGTCTTCGTGATTGAAAAATGTTGAATTACTAAAATTGAAGTGGAGACTTTATACTTTCTCGGCATCCTCGTCGTAATATGACAATATATATATTTATTCTTGATTTAATGATTATAAGTGGGTTAATTTCAAGAAATTTGCTTTATAACGTAAGGTTTCCTGCTGCAGCCAATTTGAAAATTTGTTATTCAATATATACTTTTATATTATGTTTATATGTACAAAGACTATAGTCCTTTCTTCAAGGCCCTCTCTGCGTAATGGAGGACTACAGAGAAAGATTTCACAGTAACCAAAATAAATATATCCTCCTGTGCAGGTATACAGGGTATCTCTACTCTCATCGTGTCTTTATTCTTAATATCGGTTACTATAACGAGCAGCTAAATAGCCTAAATCGAAAGTTGGCACCCTGCCGCCATATTGAATCTATAAGTGCGTCCGAGTCAATGGTCGGAGTCTGGGACTACATTTTTCACGAGGTTTCACCATTCTCGTATCCAAAGCCCTTCTAATGCCCTTGTCGCGACCGCGAGTAAGAAGGGCTCTGGGTGCGAGAATGAAGGTTTCAAAAGGAGAAAAAACTATTTCTTCATTGACAGATAAGATCAATGGTTTATTAAATTCTTTTGCAGAAACATAAAACTGAATTAAAGAGTTTCAGGTATAGTTACATTACAATATACATATAAATACTCTATGAGTTACAATCAAAAACATTGTAAATTTAATACTAGTAACAATATGGTTTATTATCATATCATCACTTTCTAGAATAAAATAATTAAAATTGTTAAAAATAATTAATGGTAGAAAATTCTTCTGTTCTTTTGATTCCACAAAACTTATGGTTTCTCTCTATATATTTACTTCTGGTCCCAATAGATATATTTACCGCAATGCATGTTTTCAAAAATTCCCTGACTGTGTTGACAGCAGAACATTCAATGGATGATTTCTACATTTCATTTTGTTCATGTATTTTTCACATAAGATAATTATTTTACTAGCTAAGTTATCAGCATGAACATGCAAGCTTGATGGCTTCTGGGTATGTTTCAGGAAATGGGAAAATTATTCTTAGAACTTTGGGCATCTCACTCGATACAAGTAATTGTTCAAGAGATTTGTAGCTGGAAATTCCGAGTGGAATTTTTATACATTTATTAAACCTAAGTATGACTGCTGATGATTTGTTAACAATTTATATTGCACTTATTCGTTCGGTTTTGGAGTACCGTTGCCCAGTTTGGCACACTAACCTACCATCCTATCTCAGCGAGCAAATTGAACGTTTACAGAAGAGAGTTTTGAGAATAATCTTCCCAAGTATATCATACAGAGAGGCTTTGCCTGCTGCAGATTGTGTACGGCTGGATGATAACAGACAACGTTTGTGTCTTAATCTCTTCCAAAAGATCAATTCAAACGGCGATAATATAAACTCAATCCGCTCATACCTAATTCTATATAGGCTCAGCGAACATGGTCTGCCACTTCGTAACTCTGATAGTCTTTCAATTTTTAAATGTAGTACGGACCGATTTAAGCGCAGTTTTTTCCCAGCGCTAACTCAATATTCTAACAATATCTAGTCAATTATAATACACGTTTATAACTTGTCTTATAATGTTTAATGTATGTAAGACAAATAGTATATATACAAATAGTCAATATTCTAACAATATCTATAGTCAACTATAATAGTTCATAACTTGTCTTAAAATTTTAATGTATGTAGGACAAATAGCAGTATACTTAAAGTATCCTATTATGTAAATATAAAGTATTTCACCTTGGTGCAATTTTATATATTTAATAAACCTTTAAACCCAACCAGGAACAGTTGTGAAAAATGCAACTATAAGCCCTCTGGCAGGAATCCAACCTGGGATTCCAGTGCAGTGCTCTGACCGAATCAACTGCAGAAGACGCGGTTGTCAAGCTCTAATCAAAATAACTACAAGTTCATGTATATACTATTAAGGTGATGCCAATGTAAGGTGTATGGCGTAAGTTTTAGGTATAGTTACATTACAACATACATTATAAATAATTTACGAGTTACAATAAAAAACATTTTAGATGTAATACTAGTAACAACAACACGTCGGCTCAGGCGTTCACTCCGGGTACAGGGCCTTATAGACTAAACGCAAAAGTACTTTTAACGTATGCTTATACCGACGAAGGTGTGTTTAATGCCGTGATATTTGGCATGTTAAAGTTGGAAAAGCGGGGAAGCTACAGCGTAACCACTTCACCTGACTCAAAACATATGAAGACACAATAACCATAACATAAAAATAAAAGGAATCACATTTAGTCTAATATCAGATGTACAGTGTAACTACATGTATCTCATCTAGACCTAACCAGTACCTGAGTACCTTGCAGTTGCAACTGCAGTTGCGATGTACCTATATACATGTAGGCCCTCTGGCAATCATCGAACATGCGGCCCAGCGATTCCGATGCAGCACTCTAACCAACTGAACTACAGAGAGACAGTTGTCGAGCTCTAACCACAAGTACATGAATAAATATACTAAGGTGACGTCAATCGGTCAATGTAAGATGCATAGGTAAATATAAGGATTTTGAGCATCTCACTTGATACAACTAATTGTTGAAGAGATTTGTAGATTGGTATCCAATTATTAAACCTAACCAGCAGGAGTTGCAAAAAATGCAACTATAGACCCTCTGACAGGAATCAAACCTGCACAAACACTTAACATTTGGCGAAATTACCAACAACGCAAACTTAAAGCAAGAAATTGTTAGCCACTTCAATAGATATGATATCCATTATATGGTGCCTGTATTTTCATTGAAGAGAAGCTAAAAATTAATACAAACAATAACAAATGTTTGGTAAAATTTCTTTGTTACACGTTTTAGCACTTTGACTGTTCGACAAAAATTCCGAATAAATCAACCGACTAATAGGTCTTCCGAAGGTAGATCTCAGACTCCGGCGCGTTTAAATTCAATATGGTGGCCAACGTGAAATCTCAGGATTTAGACCGCTTTAGCTGCTAGTAATTACTGTTTCGGTTTTATCACTGGAGCAGACTTTCTTGATTAAATATAGCACAATGGTTACCCAGTAGAAAAAGTATCATAATGGTCAAAAGTAATATTGTAGAAACTTTAGACATATTGTTCCAGATGCCTGCGGAAGAAGTTAATATACTAATGCATTTTTTCAGCCTTGTAAAAGGAACTAGTGATGGCTCACAGTAGACTAAGCGATCCAGAATATAGAAACTGGGTTACTGTTGGTCGAGCAATCCAGATTACCCGGAACGGCTTAGAAACCATAATTCAAAATGCTGCTGACAAGTACCACACATCACTGCTTGCAACCTTGCCAAAAAATGTACCTGCTTGGGAATTTCAGTTGAAGAATGCCCATCGATCACGTGATAAAAGAAAAATATCCTGGAGAAACAGTGATAACACTCAGTGGTTGACCGTTGGTGCCTCATGGGAGATTGCTAAGATTTTCATGGCTCCCTTGGGACCGAGAAAGCTTGATGTAGTCAACGCCAAAACTACTGATATATCGGGACTGTTGAATGTGTTGGAATGGTCTCCGAGAGGGACAAATGGTATGTTCAACACAGTGCTAGGAATCTCTGGCGCATACACCGTAGCTGCAAGAAGTGCTAGGAATCTATGGGCGCATGCTCGCTCAGTTACAACGTGAACTTGGTCAGGATATCAACATTTTGAAAAGTGATATGACTTTTTGGAAGGATCAAGTGGAGGTGACCTTGGAGCAGATTAAGTTCTAAGGAAAAGCTTGGGTGAATTTGTAACAAAGAACGAACTACACACGCTCTGGAAATTGTCAAGAAAGAAATCAAGGACTGGAAAGTGGCTACCAACAGCCGGCTGGAAAACATAGAAAAGGCTATGTCAGAGTCACAGCAATTATCTTGTGACGTGAAGCAAGATCTAAAGTTCAACCCAGTCTCTGATCGGATGAAGGAAGAATTTGTCGGTCGAGAGTGGTTGTTCAGTGACATTGAAAACTGGTTGCAAAAAGACCCGGGCCTCGGGAGTCTCGTGCCTTCCTTATCTGGGGTGGTGCTGGAACAGGCAAAAGCTCGTTCGCCCAAGAGTTTGTCCGTCGGCACGAGGGAGAGAAATTGGCTGCATACCATTACTGTCAAAAAGATAATCCTCGCACCTGCGATTTGAAATCGTTAGTCATAGTCTCAGAGTATGCTCTCGAAGATCTTCCCGAATATGCCCGATAACATTGCAGCAATTGAATGAAATACCAAACATTTTCTTTATGATGGTTGGATGAAGGAGGTACAAGATTGCTTCTTGCTTTGCCAGATTATCAGGAACACTTCCTTCGTGGCTTCGCGTCATTTTGACTGCAAGACACAATGCTCCCGCTCTATCGGCCTTTTTTAGACCAATTTGAGATATTCGTGAATTTGTCTCCATGAAGTACAGAAAACTTCAAACTGAATATAATGTATTCCTTCTTTCTTTGCTAATGACGAGCAGTAGGCAAAAGAAAATATTCATTGAGAAAAAAGTTGCACCTGTGCTTCAGATTGTGCTTGCCATCCAATCTGCTAAACCGTTGCTGCGTGCAAGTGATGCTGACAAAGTCGACGCGTTTGCATCATTAACCTCGCTTCTTCAAGACCCAGAACTAAACGGTCACAAAGACGTCCAAGACGCCATAAAACAACTTACTAGTTTGCTCAATACTGGTCTAGCGGTTATTGAAGAAAAAGAATTGGAAGTAATCGCTCAGTTACAACGTGAACTTGGTCAGGATATCAACATTTTGAAAAGT